AAACAATATGGCCAACATTGCAAAATCCCACCTGAAAATTCCATTTACCACCAGTCCAAGTATCTGGCAAAATATCTCCTGATAAAGTTCGACACTGAGATTACCAAACAAGGCAAACAATGGACAGGACACGATGATTGCTGTTAGCTGCTAGCTGCTTAGCTACATGGCACATCCACTGGGGTAGCAACTTCCTACCCCCCCTCCACGGGCAAAATCATTTCTTAAACCCTCACATGAACAGAGCCTCACTTACTTTATAATGGAAAGGGGCAAATAATCCTAAATCAGCCCAATTATCTCATAGCACATATGCTGCTTAATAAGTATGTTTTAGCCACTACAGGTTTATAAAATCTACTGAAGCAAAACTTTTGAACCTTCATCAAGACTCCAAAAGTGTAACAGCTGGGCCAAAGCCCCCCTTGTAATCATCTCAACAAAAATAAAGGATTTGAAAGAAGAGCTTCGTAACTACACCACAAAAGCTTTAAAAACAATATACTGAGTTTCTGTATCAGCGTTTTGTACAATTGTGTTGACTTGTATTGGAAACTTGACTTCTGTAATCTAATGTGTGATTAATTTTGCTCATAGTTGTCAGGATGCTGTGGGTCTCAGCATTTCCATCAGTTTCCTTTTCTCTGTTTCTTTTTCTGTTTCCTTTCCGTCCACATTGTTTTTTTCTCGCCCCCTTTCTACCTTGCACACACTTGAGCTTGCACACTCACCGCTTCTGCAGAGAAACCAAACCGGAGATTTTCTGAAGAGGTTTCCTCCGGCAGAGCGAAGACAAACGCCACAGGTGATCTGTGCGGGAGTTTGGCTGACAGTGACGGGAGAGCACGTGACTTACAGGCTGTAATGGTTCTTTAAGCAGGTTTCACATAAACGCCTCGGGCTGTCTCCATGTGCTCAAGTGAGAAAACCACTTTCAATATCTCCTACATAAACTCTCTTTTACTGTAACTCATTATTAGCCAAAGCAGCTGACTCAGTCATTAATGGGAAATCAGCCTTTCATGTCAGAGACTTGGTTTCTGTGAGCAAACATGAGTTTTAAGTGTGCAGCTCAGAGTTTCCAGACGATCTTGCAGGGGCTTTATCACTGTAAAAACACTTGATTTTCCTCTACAATGCCGGACCAAATCTTGTTGTTACTCTGCATCTTCCAAAAAAAATGATGTTTGATGTCTGACGGGGACCTTGTGTTTATTTTCAACTTTTCAAAAACCATTGAAAAAGAGGTCTTTGGTCACACTTAAAAGATGTTAAATATTGTTCAATAGTGTTTTAAGATTCTTCCATTGGTCACTTCTCAGGTTACATCCTGGTTATTATGGCTAAAATAACTACAAAGCTGTCAGAGCTGGGCTACAAAAAATTTTATAGCTATAAGTAGTATTAAACATGAAACACCTTCACAACACTATCACATGCCCCCTTTTAACAAAGAAAACAGATGTAAGTCTGATTTTAAGAGGTTTACCTTTAGTTTAGGGCCTATCTTATTAGAAAGATACAAACACCAACAACAACCTTCCACAGATGCAAAGAGGTTAGAAGAGGTTAAAATACAGAAATTTCATTTAGTCCTTAAGAGGGAAGTGAAACAGACCTCTGACTCTGCCCATGTCACTGGGTTAATGATGGCTATTTGTGTCACCTTCAGTGTTTCAGAAAAGGGATGTGAAGAGATTGTTCTCAATCAGCATCCTCAAAAGTGGCTCTGTAGACCTGCAAACTCTGCATTACTGAACATCGCCATCAGCTTGTCTTTTAGTTCCTTCCCACAGATCTTTGGGTAATGTTCATTTGCAACATCCAGCTGACTGTTACTTACATAGAAACGAAACAGTGGCCAGTGTACTTCAATGCAGTTGCTGTAGTATCAAATTGCTCCAAGGTCAACAAGTTTTCAGAGGATTCATGGTTTTTTTTTGAAGAATGCTGCACAGAATATCAACATGGACCAGACTGGGCTTAAAAGAAAAGGCCATTAAATTGTTGGTTTGCCATGATGCACCAAGATTGACCATTTTTTGTAAATCATCTTGACGTTCTTGGTGTAGATGGTGCGGTGTTTTTTTAAGTGTCACTATGTTTGTCTCGATGCTGGGGTCGTTCTGCTACACACCTCATCCAGGACTGTTCAAACCAGATTTTCACTACTGCTGCTTTGGGAGTCAAAACAATCCAATAACAGTCGTACAGGAGAAGAGACTGTAGAGGAATGTTATTGAACGCTCTGCTGTCCTTGATGAGGGACCAAAACAACAGCAACTATCAGAGTCACATGTCCTGAGGGTTTCTTTCAAGTTCAAGCAAACACTGAGTATTTAAGTAAAGGTATGTTTAGTCAATATACCTGTACATACCTGTTCTGACAGGGTTAGTGTAAGTGGACTGATATAAACAACTCCAAATAAACATACTGACACCACTAGATAACTATCCAACAAAAGCTAAATAATAATGTCACTGTTTTACCCCCCAGACACTTTATACCCTACAGCCTTTTAAAAACATTTCCTTGAGGGGAAGGTTGATTTTCAGTGTCGAGACCTGAGAGTGAACCTCCACCCAACAGTGGAAATGCAGACAGAAAAAGTCATATTTGAATGAGCAAATAAAATGATAAAATTTGGGTAGAGGACTAAAATAACCCAACTGGGAAATACTTGAAAAATTAGGCAAACACTGGTGAAAACCAACCTCTACAGGTTGTTCAGGAGGGCACCAATGCTGTCATTGTGTTTGCTGATGTTATGACGTCAAATTAAAAGTGTCAAATCAGGTTTTTCCTCATCATGAGAGACACAATTTCTCCACCATGTGAGGTTTGGTGTTTGCGATGTTGAGTTTGCTGACAGCAGCAAACGAATTGTGTTGTTTTTCCTTGAACTAATAACTCATACCTGTCATCAGCCAAGAGGCAACAACCCTTTACATCATGGATCCTCTTCATTCCTCCAGAAAACAATCATTCCCTCGCTCTGCTCCTTCCTTTTCTCTCTTTTTACCCATCTACCAGAAAGAAAGACCCAGAACTGCACAGCTATATTGATTCTTAAACCCCCCCCAAAAACCACCTCCCCTGCCCCACAATGGACCCCTGAGCAGAGCAGGGGGCCTTTTATGAACTTGGCAATCTTCCCTTTCTTTACAGTCTCCTAAATGAAAAGAAAAGGTAGGGGAAAAGAGTGAATGAGGGAGGAGGGAAAAGAAAAAGTGACACAACAAAAGAGACGAGCAGGGGGTCCTGAGACATGGGGGGGTCTCCTCTCTCTCCCTCCCTCAACGACGCTGCTTCTCCTCGCTCTGCCTTTGATCTGCAGCAGGATCCTGTCAAGTGTGCTGTGCGGTTGTGTGTGTGTGTGTGTGTGTGTGTGTGTGTGTGTGGTGTTGGGGGTGTTGGGGGGGGGCGTGAAAAAGCGAACTTGATGAGCTTCGGAAGTACGGATAAAAAGAGGCACAGCTGGACTGGTGGAAATGATGTGAGTGTCCTCCCCCTCACGCTAAAAATACGCACACACACAGACACACACACATGCAGGTACTTACATATACAGGTGCACACAAACACACACCCACACACATTCAAGCAAACAGTGAAAGTTTCCCTGTCTGCCCTGCACCCACACACACACTGCAGAGATGCATGCATATTTGCACACAGACACACTCCTCCGGATTCCCCCCCGTCACACACACACACACACACGCACACATGCACACACACTCTCTGTTATCGTCAGTCATCGTGGTCTTGTAAAAAGCCCCTCTGTTCAGGCTCCGCCCCTCATTCTCCACTAATGGTCAGGTGCTTCTGTTCTTACCCACAGAAATCAATCAGCAGTCTGCTGCCTGTCTAGAAATCTGAATGGTGTGTTTGTGTGTGTGTGTGTGTGTGTGTGTGTGTGTGTGTGTGTGTGTGTGTGTGTGTGTTGGTGGGGTTTCTCTCTCTCTGACTGTTAAACCGTAGGTGAGTTATTGTGAAGACAATAACTCTCCGAAAGTGCAAGCTCTCCCCACAGAAATGATTCACAGTACTTGGTGACAGTTCCTCTCTGGGAGCGTTATTTTTCTGCTCATTATCTCATAAAATTTTCTCTCGGACAGGCCGTGAGTCATCTCCCTCAACCACCAGATTGATTTGATTAGAGCTAAAACGTTAATTTCATGATATATTCTTGGTAAAATGAGAGTCTAGCCACTATAAAACAAAGATTCTCATCTCTGTTTTCATAGAAAAAAAGTGAAAAACCCCACCGAGACAGAGAGATGAGCTGATTTCCAAAAAAAACTATTCTCCTCAAGTGATGATCCGTCTTTAAAGCTTCGGGTTTTTCAGAGTATTGAGACCTTTTGCTACAAAATCAGAGCTGTATTGGCTGAAGCTGCACAATCCCCCCAAAAACAAAGTTTTTTACTTTTTTTCTGGTTGATGTATTACTTGGTTTGACATTTACATGAGCGGTAAAGACTGTTAAATACATTAATGACTTCTCAGTAGAGTTGCTTACTGGCAGAGGTTTAAAGCCAATCTGTAAGAGTCAGCATATCGGCAATGCTGGCCTAACTTAATTTATGTACTGGAGCAAAGAAATAATAGGTATCACTTTGGTGTACAGATCCACATGAAGATGACAATGTGCATCGTGTTTATCTCATACTGTGATGTGTTCATGCCAATAAGTCTCATCAAACTGTTGGTATTTGGCACCAGTAACCAGTGTTGTGGTAGTTACTCATAAAAAGTCATTTGTTAGTAGTAACTAGTTACTTCTATAAACTGTAATGAGAGTACTTAACTAGTTACTGCATTTTAAAAGTAACTTCACTACTTATAACTTTACTTTCCCATTTCTTTATTTACCGTTTAGAGGTACATGGACAAACATCATAGCCCAGTAATCACTAAGCATAGTCTGTATTGTTTTGTTTATTGTATAAATGTGTACAACATGGCATGAAAAACTATATGGAAGAACACAATAGCTCACTGTCACACAACAGGATAAAGATGGTTATAAGGTAGCAACACACAAGTTTCAAAACACAGGCTTTGGGAAACATCTTCCTACAAAAAAGATCTTCTCTTAGGAACAAAGTGCCTCCTTCCAACTCCGTCTCTGTCTCCATTTCCATCTCTCTTTAGCATTAGCAGCTCGGTCACTCCAATCTATCTCTCCATAGGACTTTCAAAGGCCACATGATTATTCAATGTATGTTGGGTCGGAAAGCGCCATCTCCGCAGGCAACTTCTTGTTTACATTCGACGAGGAGGCTGTGAGATAGCGACACAGTGAGAAAAAAAATCACCAAGAAAAATGAATCAGGCTAAAGAAAAGACTGTCAGAGCATGCAGAGACAAGCTGGACAATGGACCAAAGGCTCGACATCAAGAAAAAATAAAAAGGATGAAATTGATCCTTATGATATGAGCACCAAACCCCCAATGAAGTTCCTGGTTTTTGTAGTGTAGTGTGTTTCTTTACTTCATTACTCCAAAAAAGTAATATTGTTACTGTTATCCATAATTTTGTAGTGCGTTACCCCCAACACTGCTAGTAACCATGTGCTTGATTAAACTTAGGGAAAAGGTCATGGTTTGGGTTAAGTCGGAGTTAACAACTTGATGAAAGTCCTGCATTTGCAAGCCAGTTACAGCATTGAAAGGCAAGACTCTGTGGTGTTTTAGAGGAAATAATGCAGCATTTTCTACTTTACAAATGGAACTTGAAATTTAGATTCATCCAATGTTGTGCATAAAGAGACTACTCAAACTGGCCAAAAGGTTGAAATCCAAAGTTAAGCGGTATGGAAAGAAAAAGAAAAAAATTTCTGAGAGTAATGACCTGCTCCTGTCAGTATCACACTACAAATGTTCCATGTGCACCGTCTGGCATTTTGGCCTTTAAATGCCAATAAGTTTCATAAGAAATGTCCACCCAGAGATCTGGTGCCTGTTTCCACAAGCAAGTCCAAATGTTTAATTTTGACTCTAGATGGACAAAGGACTCACAGACAGCCTTAAGCTCTCGATTAATACAATAATCGAACCTCTGAGGTCATGACTTTTCTAATGAATACATGTGGCAAAGACAAATGGCGTAAATGTCCTCCTGGACAGACTAAAAACTCTCAGCACTGGACACAATGACGTGGTCAGATGGAGAGTTTGGCCGGTTGTCCTGGCTGGCACACGGACTCCACCAGGTGCCCACTGCTCAGGGCCAGACAGCACTCTTAAGTCGAGCCACCTTTCACTCACTTTAATAGGTGGTGGAGAGAAAGCCTGATGGCACTAACAGCAGTGTTTGGTGGGCAGCAGGCCTGGAACGACACAACCTCTTATAAACCCAGAGAAAGGACGGAGAGAGAGAGTTATAAAATGAAGGAGTGACACCATAAAGCTGCTCTCAGTAACAGAAGGAAGGCAAAGAATCAGCAAAACAACTCACCCACCCTCACACACACTGATGAGCCTGCCAGCCCCCAGCATTTACATCAGAAGAGGACGCACACAGTGGGCCTGTGGAGGGATGGAGGGATGGGGAGGAGAAGGTGGGACACACTGTTTGGAGGTTGTAAACACTGTAAGACAGTATCTCCATGGAAGCCCGCTCACCACTCTGAGGCATCTCAGCCCCCCTCCCCAGCTTTTCCAAAGCCAAGTACCCTGACCACGGGGCCCCTCGCCGGCCCCTCGCCTCGCCTGCCAGCCTGGCTGTCCGGCACAGCAGATGTGCATGGAGGAGTGGCCTTGGATGACTGGATACCCTGGCTTAACAACGAGCGAGGGTGGAGGACAGACGAGCAGGGTGTCCTTCACAGAGAGCTGCTGGGATCAGAGTCCTGTATTTATGCAGAGATTAAATGCACTGAAAGGGTCGATTACATGCAGGTTATGGGCCTGTTTGTGTGTGTATACTGTGGGACATAACTTCCAATGACTCATATGGTCTTTAATCCTCCCTTCAAAGCTTTATAACAAAGTTATTCGGAGTGACCTCATTTTCACCAGCTGTAATAGGATGTGCAGACGACAGGAAATCAAACCTGTGTTGTTTGTAGTAAAGCTGTTTTGTTGTTGTTGTTGTTTGTTTGTTTGTTTGTTTGTTTGTTTTCTTCAATTTTGGATTGACTTAAAACTTTTAGACATTAAACTATGAAACTAAAATAGGACTTAGCTCAATTTTTAAATATCACAAATATATTTAAAAACTCTTCATACATTAGATGACAGCCCATAATGGCTGATAGAAGTACTTTGGCCACTTCGGAGGTAAAAATACTGTTGATGGGGAGGTGGCTAGAAATAACATTGCTTTAAAATACCATTACAAATCAGGCAAGAAAATAATGTCTGTAAAGGAGATGGCAAATTTTCAAAAGATGTCTGGTTAACAATCAGTGACCTGGAAAACAAAGCAGTGCACCACACCAACAACATTTTCACTTCATGCCTGGATTTGATGTCACCAGTTTTCTAATGAAAATGGTGGTAAGTTGTTTGTTTGATTTTGGTCATCCAAACCATGTACAATATGACCCCAAGAGATGAGAAATGGACTGGTGTAAGAGACAAACTCCAATCATTCATGGACTGTTTTAAGACGTGGTTGTGACCACACTGACGTCAGCCTACGGTTTTTGTTTGAAGCCTTCTGGTCGGTGTTGTGGTCTCCATCTTGTTGGTTTCCTTGATCTATAAGAAAACATGTTTTGAGGAGGGTTAAAACATTACAGCCAACATTGCTTAACTTTTGGGGTCCAAGCTTTTCTTTTGGTACCCTGTCAGATTATTAAATGATAAGTTAGAAAATGATTGATTATTAACATGGATGATCTAAGAGATATTAGATGAAATATTGTCACAGTTTTGTGTGAGATAAATGTAATATAAATGATACAATTCAGGCTATGATCAGTGTTGGAAAGTAAAGTATGCCCCACCAAACATACTATGTGTGTTGTGTTAAAGTAGAGGACAGTTATACTGGGTGTTAAAAAAAAAAAAAGCCGTCTCATGCCATACTGCTTCATGAAACATGACGAGTGTTAGCATGAGCACGATACCCTCAGCGAACCTGGGGCTCACTAGACAAAGGCCTGTTACTCTATATCTCTATCCTTGACATGCCAATGACTTTTTGTGTGGCTAAAAACTTCTGGAACTGGGTCCTAGAATGGAATCATCTGAAAATACCAGCAACCTCTAAACAAAGTGGCTTCTCAGCCCACTAGCACATGCATGTTTCTTACACATTCAAGTAAAAGAATGAGAAAAGCAATGGCCAAGCTGTGTCCAAGCATCTAACTCTACTGTATCACATTTGTCACATTTTCTTGTTTTGTTCATAATGAGGATTGAGGACCATCAGCCATTCGTTGGCCACACCATTGTCATCAGCCATCGGAAAAAAAAAACAATTATACGTGGCGCAGCATGTGTAAACGCTTTCAGACACTGGATCTGTGCAGCAAGGCCATACTAGTAAAGCACTCCAGGTCTGCTATAAGTGAACCTCACACTTAGCTTTGATGTTTAACACCCTGTACAGTGTGTGTTTGTGAGTGTGTACAGTATGTGTGTGTTCGGAGGCCATACAATAAGCTATATGCTGCACCCTACTCCTGTACTAAGGAGGACGTGAGGATAAAAAGGAGGAGGAGGAGGGAAACAGGTGGGTTTAAATGGTGTTTCAGCCTGAATGAGCCTCCTTTGAGCCCATTATACAGCAGCTATTACATGACCCTCATCAGTGGAGCCCTGCAGAGACGTTCCTATACAGACAGACAGATGGATGCTGATAGACCGGCGGGCAGAGAGACGGGCTGTTCCATCCCAATCCTTGAAAAGGATTACAAAACAGAAAATCGGAGTTATGAGTTCAGGCGACCAATTGTAGACCAGCATGTGGTAAAATGTGTCATCCTTAGTGATAACTCACCATGTGTGAAGAAATGCCCCTGTCTCTTTTCTCATATCTGGGTTTCTCTCCTCACAGGTGGAGAGGGATTGAGGCACTAGTAGGCGGTGGATGCCCTGTAAAACAGATTGCCATTCAGCAGCTCTGTATAAAGGCCTTTTATTGGGAGCTCTGTCTGTAAGCCCTCTTCCCTCCTGTATTTGCCACTTCAGTCCCGGAGAGAGAAAGTGGGAAGCAGTTGAAAGATGCACATGAGGAGGGAGCGCGGGGAAAGTAAAAGGCTAGCTGAGGAAAAAACAGGCCGTCAGGCTTTATTTCTGCACACAAAAGGCAGAGCTGGAGGGCGAGGGAGGGGAGGTGAGAGAGAGGGTTTACAGAGCTGCGGCGGGCAGCGCCTGCCAGGCGACGAGGAATTCATGCTCGATTTGTCCTTGTTCTCGGCCCGTTTGCAATAAAAAGGAGCTGAAGGGAAGAGGGGCTGGACCGGGCTGGGGGCAGCAGCAGATTGCAGATGCCTCTATTGGAGAGGGTCCTTGTGTAAAGTAGGTCCCCCTCTCTGAGCCCAGGCCCGCCCCCAGAGAAAAGAGCCCTTCTCTACTGTAAAGGAGCGCTCGGGACATTGTGGGGCTCGTCAATGGCTCTCTGCTGGGGCACGGCCAGAATACAAGGAGGCCCAGTGTTCAGCTCCGCAGCTCCTTCTATACAGGCCAGAGCCGTAATGGGGGCCCTCAGGGTCTACAGGGAGTTTAGAGGACCAGATTCAATGGAGGCCGAGTCTTTTCACTGGGACATTGTGCGACTCGCTCCCTCTGTCCTAGAGATGGAAGAGAGGGAAATTCCTCCACAGATCAAACAGAATGTCTTCATCTGCAAATGAATCAGAGACGGGCACAGTGTGAGACATCCAAAAGGGGGGTAGTATTGAGAGTGCGGGCAAGGAAGGTGTGTGTGCGAGTGTGTATGTGTGCGTGTCAAGTGTTGTTACTGCATCTCAGGTAAGATTAGAGCCAATCATGGCCTGTTAGAGCACCTGTCAATCATCCCAGTAGACACTGGACCAAGGTCAACATCCAGCTGTGTGCCTGTGAGAGTCAGTGTGTGTCAGTGTTTGTGTGCGCTCTGTGTGCTGATTGTGTGTGACTGAGTTAGGTAAGGTCAGTCATGAGTTGTTATCATCCTGTTTCCCATGAAATCATTATTAAAAAAGCACATTAAACCTCATAATACTGAAAATAATCTCCCATGGCATTCAGGCAGACAAACACTCACACACACCCACAGTCACACAAGGCTGGCAGCTCCGTCATTCAGGACTCGGTTAGCCACGACTTAGAAAAGACAAACTTTACACAGTCACCATGACCGCTGCTCAGCGCTGCAGAAAATGTCGCAGATAAACAAAAAGCCGTCCAGCAGAGCAACCCGAGGATTTCCCCAAACCTCAACCAGAGTGAGACCTCAGACCTTTTTTTTTTTTAAAGCTCTGTTTGTCTTACTCATCTGTCTCCAAGTGTATACACCTATTTATAAAGTCAGGTCTGAAATCCTGAGGGATCAAGACAGTTTATTGCAGCTCAAATCTTTTTGTCTTAGTGTTTAATTACACTGACACAGATCTGACCAACATAAGGAGAAAAGAACATGTGGGAGGAGATGCCCTGATCGTTTTCAAATATGAGAACATTTATAAACAAAAACATTCACAGCATAGCAATGGTGACACAAAAGGTGGAGAGAAGTGTCCTGGCAATAACTAGAAGATTATGACAAGATAAGGTCCTGTTTCCAATAAATAGGATGTTTGACTGGTTTACTTTAATTCAGTTTAATATTATTTTTGCAATACTAAGGGCTTGATTCAAACATTGTGCAGCATCTCCTCCTGCCAAACCAGTTCAAATGACCGTAAATAGTACCTTATAATTCGAAAGCAAAAGGTTTAATGCACCACAAACTGGGCTGCAGAGCAAATACCGTGTCTCTGTGTTGTTTAATTGAGCCATTGTGTATTCATTTGAGGCAAAAATGGCCTCTTTCAATGCAAATTAACCGCAAATTAACCGCTATGCATAAACATTTCACTCTCATGGACACCATTTCCAGCAGCCATCAAAATGAAATTATTGATGTCTGCTGGAAGTTGGTAACTTTTCAACTGTATTTCAAGGTATCATGCTGAAATCTCCCAGTGATCAGGACAGCAAATCCACCTCTGGATGACCTAAAAAATACATCCTCAGCACATAGGGTCAGTTAGTATCTCTAACACTTTTTCACATGTGTGAATGTTGTCTGAGGCTGTTTCATGCAGTGTGTTTTTTATATATAAGTTGAAGAAGCTAATTATGCAGGTTAACTAACAAACTTTGTTAGGAATTTTGAAATATTTATATTTGGTATCAATCAATTTCACACACTGATAGGATGTTTTTCCTCTTTCAGCTCAGCATCTATGTGAAGACAGAGTGAATAAAGCTCCATCAGGATGAGAGTGCACAGCTCAGCTCTGCTCAGTAGAGAGGGAAGGTGCTGACCCCTATCAGACACGATCATTGCTTTATCATTTCCTCGAAGTAATTATCATCATATTAATCATTTCGCACTGCAGACGCTGTAGTTCTTCTGCCTTAGTGTCTCGGTCTGATTGCATTTCTGTGAAGAAATTATCATAAATGTTCTTCCTTGAGCTGCTTCACCCCACTGTAGTCCGTCATGGACTGCCTTGAGGTCTCGCTACAAACAAGCCACTGTTGGAGGGGGGTAGGTGAGTTGTGTTTAATCTCTTTGCTAAAGAAATCAGGCAAAGCTAAAAAGATGTTTGGTGGATAGTGCTGTGGCTGGGACCCTATATGTACTGTTGATGAAGTTAGATGCTGTTCTGAGCATTATTTGTGACTATAGAGTGGCTTTTTGGTTGAGGTTTGTGTATGGCTCCTCAGACTGCTGTGTACGGCTGTCTTGCGGTCGATACTAAAGTTGGTGTAACTAGAAAAGCAAGCGGTTGGCAACATTCATCTTTCGGGGGGTTGTCTAACTGGATGTTACGGTGTGTTTGCCCCTAAATTAATTTTACGCAGAAATATCCCTTTAACTTCCTGAAATACAAAAATCAGAAGTCTGGTTATAAACATTTAGCCCTAAAATCAGGTCAGTTAAATCTGAGGCTCAACAGACACTCCCCAGACCCTGCAGGTCAATATCCAAGACCCTCTGAACAGGAAGCAGATCTTCCTGCAGGATCCCCTCATTTGTACAACCGTGTGTGTGTGTGTGTGTGTGCGTGTGTGTGTGTGTGTGTGTGTGTGTGTGTGTGTGTGTGCTCCCCCTTTGCGTGTGACAGAGATACAGCGAGATGAGAGAGCGTGACACCTCTGGCTGTCGGTTCCTCCAATTGTTCTGCAGGAAACTCGCTAAAACAGCAGATAAAAGAACTACAGAGAGGGAGAGAGAGAGGGCAAGCAGTACAGAGGCATGCTCGCTCGCCCCAGGGAGACAGTAGAGCAAAGGTGAGGGTCGTGGAACAAAAACAAGAACAGCAGCATGGTGAGTCAGGCCTGTGGTCCACACTCAGCTGGTTCACAGAGGAGAAAGACCCCACAATGACGCATGACTACACACACCTGCTCACCGTCTGCAGGGCTCCCACACACACTCTCACACACACACGTAGATGCACAAACATACATATGCACACCCACTCAATCACACAAACCCCAAATGTGTGCTAAAAGACTGTGTGACTGTATCTAAACACCTGAATGAGTGGATGTTGCCACAAGGATTTACCGTAAGTGCTGAATGAAAAGTTTTGGCTTTGATTTGAAGAGTTAGAAAAGAAACCAAACATTTGGGTTTTCAGTAAAGCCTTCATCGCTGTTAACAGAACCTTACTGGTGGGTGTTTTTTGTTTTCTATTACGTCATGTGATCTGGGTAAAATGTTTCTGGTAACAATGACGACTATTGTCCTCCTGTGTCGATCATAAGTGTTACATGTTATTAATAATGAACCCCCCGCCCACCCACTCTCACACATGTATACCAGAATCTTCTGACTCATCTCTATTTAAAAGGACGCACTCAAGATCAACACAATCTTTTCATGAAAACCTGTTTGGAAACTATACAAAAATTACAGTAAATTACATTTTTCTATTTTGTTTTTTACTAAACTTACCTTACCACTATACCATCAATTTTTTAAAAATGGGAGGAAAACCGAAAGGGCCACATTTAGAGCCTGGTACAAAAAGAAACAAAAAAAGGTTTTCGTAAGCCTACATCTGTGTTAAAACCAAAGGGGGGGATTTTATTTTGTAACTCATTCTCTTTGAAGATATTGTGGTTAAAAGTTTTGCATAAATTGGGGGTGTAGCTAAATTAACAGACGGCGGCACATTGTAGCTGTCAACCAGGGGGGCGGGGGGCTGTTTCAACTCTGCGTCTTTGCTTTTCAGTAAGTTGAGGTTGAGTGTCATTTCCAACATGACTTTGAAACTCTTCAGAAACCAATGACTGACGCCACTGAGGCGACATGTTTTCCTCAGTCTGTGGACTCACCACGCTGCTGTTCCTACCTTTTTATTTTTTGACATTTTAAATTTGCTTTATTTTGAGAGGGAAAATATGAGCTTTTTTACATGATGTGTCCCGGGTCAGGAGACAGAGACAAAACCTATTAAAAAAACAAACATACACTATGAGAAGAATAGCTACAAACATCAAAATAATATACTCAACACTAAACACTAAACACTAAAAGGTTGAAAATTGTGTAAAGCAAGTCATTTCATAGGGTAGGAGCCAGACCCCTAAGTTGTAGGGTCTGGTCCTGCACACACCATCAATGTTTGAATCCACTGTAACATCCCCTCCTTAGCAACAAGACTATTCCAAGACTAGCTAGCCTTGCCCTGCTGAAAGGTTTCTAAATCCACATGCAAACAACTGACGCTTAGTCATTACAACAATAACAAGATGTGTTTTTGAAGACGGATTAGCCCCGTGTTCACGAGCTCCACAGTCTGTCAGTCATTGTTACGGCTTTGCTGTATTCAAAGCTCTGAGTCCCAAAGTTAAAATAACACTGTCGCAACAAAGAAGAAAGGTTGCTTTAAACTATTCAAGGTAATGCAAAACACTGATACAGTCTTCGAGGAGCTTAATACCACCAAGGCCATCAAGGCTAACAGGCAGCAAAGACACCAAAACTAACAGTAGTTTATAGTTTTGCAGATTTAATTGACTGATGGACATGCTGTA